GAACTGAGGGAGGGAGGGAGGGAGGAACAACCAGTCTGCAGACATTTTCCTGGGAATTACAAAGAGATCCTAGAAATGGATCAGGTCAGTGGAACTCCTCAGAAAGCAAACACTTCCAAGGATCTGATGGAACCGTGGGGTCACACATGGCTCTGTACATTCTCACATTGCCCTGCCCTTCCTCCCTGTGCCCCAGGGGCATTCCCAGCAGGAGCAGGCTCCAGAGCTCCCCTGAACCCCATCCCATCCCAATCCCAGCCCATCCCAATCCCAATCCCAATCCCAATCCCATCCCAATCCCATCCCATCCCAATCCCATCCCATCCCAATCCCAGCCCAATCCCATCCCATCCCCAATCCCAGCAATCCCAGCCCGACAGCCTCCCCCAGAGAGCCTGGCAACAGCGTGTGCATTTTGCAAGAAAAGAGCAGCATCCAACTCAGAGCTGCACTTTTAAGCTCCCTTCCTTTCCAAATAATCTCATTTTTGTGATTACTGTGTCTGGAGCAGAAGGCAGGACTGCAACTGTCATCTCCCTCCTTCGGCAGGAAGGAAAGGCAGCCAACACCCCCAGGGAGATCAGGGATGTTCCAATTTGCACTCCCCATCTCCCTGCACTGCCTTAGCCCCCTTTGCTGCAAAGTTCCCTGGAGGGGCTCAGGCACAGCCCCCTCTGGGCCACCAGAGCCACCCCTGATCAAATCCCACAGGGATTTAGACAAGAACAAAATTATTCTTGATTGACTCTTTCAAATTGCATCCACCGAGGACACAAGGCTGAACAGTAATTTGTTCATTATGAAAGCCTGTCATGAGAAGTCTGTAGGGAGCACAAAAATAAGCTTTCCAGCAGTAAAAGAGAAATCAGGGTGCTGATATTCCCCATGTTGCACGGTTCTACTCCCAGAAAATATGAAGCACCCTGGCATGGATTTATCATGGAGCTCCATTTGTAGGGAAAGCTACAACCCTGCAAAGGAACAGCATTTTCTCCCAAGCAAAACCAGCAGCCTAAAATCATCTTGCCTGAACTCCCCAGCGCATTTGGAAGCAGCTTTCCAAATTATTTTGGTGTTATTTTTAGGAGAGATATTTAATTTATGACCGGGCTGCTGTTTTCTGGTGCTGGAAGGGAGTCCCTGCCTCTGACACTCCTGGGTGTTGGTGCAGCCCGGGCTGGTCCCTCTGGAGCTGGGCACAGCTGCCCTGCTGCCCAGCCCCTGCCCGGGCAGCCCTTCCCTGGCTGGGTGGCACACAGCCCAGGGGATGCCCTCACAGGGCTGGGGCACTGCCACTCCTGCCCGGGCACTGCTGAGGGATGGCTGGAGGTAAAGAACACACAGAACCCAGCCCGAGGCACCTCAAGCCCTTCCTGGGGAAGCCGTGGCCAAGCTGGAGGAGCTCCCCTGCACTCAGCCACCCAGCCCTGCCCCGGGTGGGCTCTCCCTGCTCTGCCCAGCCCCTGCTGGTGCTCCTCAGCCATCATTTCAACCCAAGCACCTCCAGCAGGTCCCACCGAGCCCCTGGCAGGGGCAGACTGAGCCCAGGGATGCAGCCTCCCCTCCCTCAGACCCTGAGCTTGCCTCACAGGGCCCTTGCAGCCCTCCTCACTCATTGTGCATTCCTCCTGGAGGGGCCTGATGAGGCACCCTGCCCCACTGGCAGTTCCTGTGCCCACCCACAGGTCCTGTGGGGCCAGGAGCAGTGACCAGCCCCAGGGCTCAGCCTGGCTCCCTCAGCAGCCAGCCTTCAGCTGCCCTGGCCCCCAGCAGGACCTGCCCCTGGCTCCTGCAGGAACCCTCCCACCCCGGCTGCTCCCAGGCTCTTTTATCCAAGGAGCAGCTCAGGGGGGAGTGAGGGCACAGGAACAGAGGGACTCTGATCACACAGCACACCCCCAAGAGTCACGCAGATCTCCCCATCACTCTTCACCCCAGAAAAGCCCCACAAAGCTTGCAGCAGCCATTGCAGGATGAACTGCAGCCCGAGGAGCCCGGCACTGGCTGTCCCTGCTGTGCTGCCTCCAGCTGAGGATGCCCCCAGCCCCTGTGCTGCGCTGGGATGGAGAGCAGGCACAGATAACACAGCCTCCCATGCAGAGAGGAAGATGAGCAGCCTGCGTGGGGCCGGCCCCTCCTGGGGAGGCAGCCTGAGGAAGCCCTGCTGTGCTCTGGATGGGTTATGTATATCTGTATATATAGATTTACACCCATTTGCTCCCTGCACTAAGGCACAGCAGAAATGCTTATCTTCTGAGATATTGCCAGAGAAGAAGCAGAAACCCCATTAAGATTTCTTTGCAGGGGCCTCCACAGAGCTTTTCCCTCCCAGATGTGAGGGAAAAGCCAGTTTGGGCATGCAGGTAAGCGTTCAAGAGCCATCCACCCTCCCCTCACCCACTGCCCCAGGCAGCAAAACCCACAGCGACCCCCGAGAAAGAAGCTGGCTGCCACACTCAGGAATTCAGAGAGTTCTGAGGTTAACAAGATTTTTTGTGATTGGTACTTGGTTTTCTTCTTTCCACTAACTTAGAGCTTCTCTTCCACCCACCCACACACAATGACACTTAGCTGTTGAACAGGTCCACTTCTCCTCCTAAAATAGTTATTTTCTATTTCTCTTTGGCTGAGCATGTTCTAAATTGTGTTTTGAAGAAGGAGAGGACAACAGGGAACCGTTTTACAGCATGAAAGATCAGCTTCAAGGCGGCTCATCCAAGCTGTAAAATAGATATTCAGTAAAATCCCCCAGCATGGGCCAGTTCCTGCTTTCTGGATGATTTGGTTAAATTGCAACTTTGAACAGATGCTTAGTCACAATACATTAAAGTATTTTGTTTATATAAATATCTCTACGTGGAGAAACTGTCCAAATATCTTATTTTCTGCAAGCTCCACAACCAGAGGCTCTGCGGGTATTGTGGCATCACCCTGAGGCTCCCGGTGCCTCAGTTTCCCTTCTGACCCGGATCTGGGGGCAGTGCCCGGCAGTAGCCATGGGGCGGGCACTGGAGTGGAAGCGCTGTCCCCTCACCCTGCTGGCAGCCTGCGAGCCCGAACTCGCCCAGCCTCAGCTGGGCTCTGCGGGGCTCGGGAGAGCCGGGTGCGCGGGGCACGGCAGGGCACAGAGCGGGCACACCGGGCAGCCGTGAGCCGCGGTCTGCCAGGAGAGGCGAGCGAGGCAAAGCAAAGCAAAGCAGCGGCTCGCCGCTGTGCCAGGGGTGGGCAGGGCACTGCCCGGCCGGGCACGGCGCGGGGCAGCGCAGCGAGGGCGGCAGCGGCCGGAGGTGGCAGATGGCCATGGGGCTCGGCGGCACCCAGCACGGATCTGCCGGGCGAGCCTCGCGAGTTCCCAGCTGGGAAAAGCGGGGGATCTCTCCGCCCGCTGCACAAAAATAAAATAAAAAAAAATCCCTCCACCACCTTCCGCATGCGAAGGCGTAGGACAGGGAGCGAAGAACTCCGCTGCTCACGATGCATCTGGTGGCGCTTCTGTCACTGTCACCGCACCCGCGATCGCTGCCGAGGAGCAGCCGGCGCTCGCTGCGGGGCCCGGCGGCTGCAGCGGCGCCTCGGGGGGACATCCCGGCCCCGGGGGGACATCCCAGCCTCGGGGGGACACCCCCTCATCCCGGGGGGACAATAAAAAAAAATCCCTCCACCACCTTCCGCATGCGAAGGCGTAGGACAGGGAGCGAAGAACTCCGCTGCTCACGATGCATCTGGTGGCGCTTCTGTCACTGTCACCGCACCCGCGATCGCTGCCGAGGAGCAGCCGGCGCTCGCTGCGGGGCCCGGCGGCTGCAGCGGCGCCTCGGGGGGACACCCCGGCCCCGGAGGGACACCCCCTCATCCCGGGGGGACACCTCAGCCTCGGGGGGACACCCCGGCCCCGGGGGGACACCCCCTCATCCCGGGGGGACAGTCCAGCCTCGGGGGGACACCCCGGCCCCGGGGGGACATCCCAGCCTCGAGGGGACAGCCCCTCATCCAGGGGACACCCCCTCATCCCGGGGGGACACCCCGGCCCCGGGGGGACATCCCCTCATCCCGGGGGGGATATCCCCTCATTCCGGGGGGGATATCCCCTCATCCCGGGGGGACACCCCCTCCTCCCGGGGGGGACAGTCCAGCCTCGGGGGGACACCCCCTCATCGCGGGGGGACACCCCCCCATCCCGGGGGATCCAGCCCTGGCCAGAGCCGGACAGACGGCGTCTCACGGCCCTGGGGCAGGAGGATGAGGGGGTGCCAAGTCCCCGCGGCCCGACTCCCACCGAGGCGCGGCGCCGGGGGCGAGACGGGCGCGATGGCAGCGAGAACGGGGGAGAGGCGAGGAGGGGGAGAACGGGCAGCGCTGCAGCGCATCTCCCCCGCACACACTCACACACACACACTCACACACGGCTCTAATCCGCCGGCTCCGCTCATCCCTCGCTCCCCCGGAGCCCGGGGCGGCTCTCCCGGGCTGAGCCGCCCCCGCTGCCCCCGCTCCGCGCTCGGGAGGGAGCCGGACCCGAGCGGCAGGCGCTGCGTGCTGGGGCTGCCCGCACAGCCCCGGCTCAGCCGGACAAAGCCCCTCCTGCCCCTCTCCCGGCCCCGTCCCGACCCCCCGCGACCCCCGGGCCGGGGCGGCCGCAGCTCCGGGATTCCGTGCGCGGAGCGGTGCCGGCCGTGCCCGCCGGGATGCCGTGTGCCCGCCGGGATGCCGTGTGCCCGCATCCATCCCCGCCGAGGCACGGCTCTCTGTAACGCAAACCCAGCGCAGCCAGCGCCTCTGCTCTTCTCTTCCTTTTTTTTTTTTTTTTTTTTTTTTTCTCCTCCTCTCCCTCAGGCATTGCTTCGTGCAAATGGGGCGATAAATCCAGAAAGCGCCACGCACCGTGGAGAAGGGAGAGGGCGGCGGGGAGGGGAAGCAGCTGCTCCGGAGGGAGGCGGATGGAGCACCTGGAGAGGCACAGGGGGAGCCGGGAGCGGCGCAGCCCCGCGGCACGGCCCTACCTGGAACAGCCGGAGGATGTTGGCCACCATAATGGACACGGAACTTCCCGATGCCCCGATCACTCCAACTACTTTCTCCGGCTTGACGAAGACGGGCGGCTCGCCGTTGGTGCACCTCACGTCGGAGGTGTCCTTCTGGATGAGCGCCTGCACGAAGGTGAGGGACTGCTCCAGCGCGTAGGTGTCCCGGGAGCAGGTGTCCAGGATGCGGGCGCCCAGCGTCACGTTGGGCAGCAGCTCCGGGTCGCTGTTGATCTGGTCCAGGGCGTAGAGCATCGCCTCCAGCCTGTGGATGCCGTTCTCCTTCTTGATGTCCCCGCAGGGGGAGCCCGGGGGGCCCTTGGCGTGCACGGGGAAGAGGCCGCCCAGGGTGATGTCCCCCTCCAGGCGGATGGAGTGGGGCGCGTACATCTCCTGCCCGCGGGCCGCCTCGCCGAGCAGCAGCTCCAGCAGGCAGCAGGGCAGCTCGAGCAGCGCCAGCAGCCGCAGCAGCCGGCCCGGCCGGCCCATGGTGCTGCTGCCCCGCGCCCCCCGGGGCCGGCCGGGATGGGGTGGCCGCGGAGGGCTGCGGGCTCGGCCCGGCCCCCGCTCCGCCCGCCGCTCCGCCCGCAGCCCTGCGCCGCGCTCCGCTCCGCTCCGCCCCGCGGGCACCGGCCGGGCACGGCCTGGGCATGGGCTGGGCACGGCGATGGGCATGGCATGGGGCTGGGCTCCCGAATGGGGCTGGGCATGGGCCGGGCACGGCGATGGGCATGGCATGGGGCTGGTCACCTGAATGGGGCTGGGCATGGGCCGGGCACGGCAATGGGCATGGCATGGGGCTGGGCTGGGCATGGCATGGGGCTGGGCACCCGAATGGGGCCGGGCATGGGCTGAGCACGGCAATGGGCATGGGCCAGGCATGGCATGGGGCTGGGCTGGGCATGGCATGGGCCGCGCTCCGCTCCGCTCCGCCCCGCGGGCACCGGCCGGGCACGGCCTGGGCATGGGCTGGGCACGGCGATGGGCATGGCATGGGGCTGGGCACCTGAATGGGGCCGGGCATGGGCCGGGCACGGCGATGGGCATGGGCCGGGCATGGCATGGGGCTGGGCTGGGCATGGCATGGGGCTGGGCACGGAGTGGGGCTGGTCATCTGAATGGGGCCGGGCATGGGCCGGGCACGGCGTGGGGCTGGGCACAGGAATGGGGCTGGGCACGGGAATGGGGCTGGGCACGGGAATGGGGCTGGGCACGGCGTAGGGCTGGGCGGGACATGGGGCTGGGCACGGGCACGGGCATGAGCCGGGCACGGCATGGAGCTGGGCACGGGCACAGCGTGGGCACGGGCATAACGTGGGCACGGCATGGAGCTGAGCACGGGCATGGAGCCGGGAACGGGCATGGAGCTGGGCACGGACACAGCGTGGGCACGGCATGGAGCCGGGCACGGCCATGGAGCTTGGCGTGCCGGGGATGGCGGTTTGGGGATAGCCGGACCCGCGGCGCTGCGGACGGGGGAAGCGGGGGGACCGCGGCGGCCCCGCTCTCGCTCTCGCTCCCCGTTCCCACTCCCGCTCCCCTCTCCCCGCTCCCGCTCCCCTTTCCCCGCTCCCCTCTCTCCGCTCCCGCTCCCCGCAGCCGGAGCCGGGCTCGGGAGGCGGCTCGGGAGCGCCCGCCGAAGGCGCTGCGCGGGGGATGCTCGCTCAGCCCCGCCGGAGCAGCAGCAGCAGCAGCAGCATCCTCCGCCTCCGCCCGGCTCTCCCGCTCGCGGGGCCCGGCAGTGCCGCCGGGGACAGCCGGGGACAGCGGGAGCAGCCGGCCAGCCCAGGGCATCGAAGCATCCACCCGGATTGTGCCATGGGAACGAGATCCTCCGCCCGCCGAGGTGGAGCGGCGAGGAGGAGGAGGAGGAGGAGTTTGGATGTAACCCCGTACTCCCAAACCCGAAGTAATGCAGCTGAGCTCGTTCTATTTTAAGATCTCCAGACCCATTTTTCTTCTGCACACCCAGATCTCGAGGATGCTGGAACATGCCGGTTTTGTTCCCTTCACTCCAAAACTCTGACACCCAAAGGGACAGCACCTGTTGCCATTCCCTCCTGACCTGCAAATCCATGCCCTGGCACATTCCCAATTCCAGCTAATGCAGAATGCATCTCTCAGATGTTCCCACCACACCAAACACATTTTTTGGAGACAACCTTTAATTCTTCCTTCATAAACACCAGACCAGGTGTAGCTGCTGTTCATCACCTGGCCTCCAACACACTCTGGACCAGCTGAACCCGTGTGTAGGAACCTGCCCAGGATCACAGAGTGGTTTGCATTGGAGGGTCCTTAATGATCGTCTCATCCCACCCTGCCATGGCAGGGACACCTCCCACTGTCCCAGGTGCTCCAGCCCCAGTGTCCAGCCTGGCCTTGGCACTGCCAGGGATCCAGGGGCAGCCACAGCTGCTCTGGGCACCCTGTGCCAGGGCCTCACCTCCCCCAGATCACCCCCACATCTTAGGAAAGTGACTCCTACACTGCCAGCCCCGGAATGGGTGGGGTGGGAAGGGACCTGAAGGAGCACCCGGTTCCTCAGGGATTTCCCATTGTGCTGCCAGACTCCCGCCCCTTCCCAGTGGGGTGTGCCATGGGGTGGAGCTGAACCAGCCCCCATCCCCATGCCCTGCACACACATCCCGACTCCTCACATCACCTCACCCTGCACAGCGGGATTTCCTTCCCAGATCCCCCTTGTACCACCAGCTCCATCCCCGGTTCCATCTCCACGCAGGGAGAGCTCTTTTGTGCTGATTTACCTCTTGCCCACTTAAAGCTCCTCAGTCAGAACCTTGATGATGATGATGATGATGATGATGATGATGATGATTATTATTATTATTATTTTATTTTATTATTATTATTGACTCTGACTCTTGTGATTGGAGCCTCAAGTTTGCTTCAAGTGCTCCAGTTCAGGAAGGATGTGGAGATAAATCACTTCTTCTAACAAATCCCATTGTTTTGCTGGAAGTCACCTCATGAATTTGGAACTTTCCTGGTTTGCGGTTTTATTCCCTTTGGGCAAACCTGCAGTTATTCACATCTAATCACATAAACTTCTGTCCTCTCAAAATGACAGAAAACCCATCTCCTGTCCACTTCATCCTCCTCTTCTCACACCCTGGTGTAGCTAAAGCATGAGTGTCCAGATTCCCCTGCAGGTTCCCTGAGGAGCCGGGGGCTGCCACAGCTGATCCAGCGGCCCCAGGGTCCAGTCCACCTTGGATGAGCAGCAGATGTACCAGAAGAAAAGGACAGGGTTTTACACTATGCAGCTACCTTTATTCTCTTCCTGATTTTATTCGTTTAAGCCCTGAAGAATCAAAGATTATTCTAATTACATTACAAAAATGGATACAGTAATCACTGCTGTGGATACTCCTGATATCCATGGAAGTCCCACCTTGGATGAGCAGCAGATGCACCAGAAGAAAAGGACAGGGTTTTACAGTCTTTATTCTCTTCCTGATTTTATTGGTTTAAACGCTGAAGCATCAAAGATATTCTCATTACATTACAAAAATGGATACAGTAATCACTGCTGTGGATACTCCTGATATCCATGGAAGTGCCCAGTCCCTCTCCCACTTTTTCCAAGTGCTTGGCTGCTGTGCTAACAAGGACCAGTGGACATCTCCTGAAAACCCTGTTTACCAGTTTTCAGCCTCCTGCCTTTGAAGTTGAACTCTTCAAATTGGCATTACTCTCCTTCTCGTTGTACCCGAGCCCCCTCCCCTCTGCTCGGAGCTACCTGCACCCCGTCTGGCCCTCACAGGAAACTGAATGTAATGGCAGCCTGTGCATCCCTCACTGCTGGGTTTCCTTGGGAGAAATGTCAGCCTTGGTGATGTGAAAGCCTTTTCCAACCAAAAGATTCTGTCATCCTGTGATCTCCTTGGGTTGCTGAACACCTGGGGTGAGGCAGCACTGACTAAACCCAGCAGAGAGTGTGTCACAGCTGTGCTGAGCAACATCCCCTGTCCCACTGTAGCTAAATCCCAGCTGGATCCCTCCCCTCCCTGCCAGCCCACCTTGAGAGCCTTGCTCAGCATGCAGCACTCAGCATCCAGCACTCAGCATCCAACACTCAGAGCATTCCACACTCAGAGCCTCACTCAGCATCCAGCACTCAGAGCATTCCACACTCAGCATTCAGCACTCAGAGCATCCAGCACTCAGAGCCTCACTCAGCATCCAGCACTCAGCATCCAACACTCAGAGCATTCCACACTCAGAGCCTCACAGAGCATTCCACACTCAGCATCCAGCACTCAGAGCCACACTCAGAGCCACCCTCAGCACTCAACCAGCAGTTCCTGGGGAGAACAGAGTCATGGCATTCCCCCCTCAGAGCCATGAGTGTTTCCCCTAGGCTCAATCCCAGGAAAGCTGCAGGGAATCCTGCAGGGCTCAGGAGGGGATGGTGGTGCAGGAAAGCAGCACTTTAATGGGACACTGACAGGAGCAAATGGAAACGGGGGAAACCATTGCAAGGTGAGTCTGTTTCACTTCACTGTGACCCACTGGTGTGCCCAGCCCAGCTCCCAGCACAACCCTGAGCTCCCAGACCCTGAACACCTTCTGCACCTTCAGCCTTGGCAGCTCTGTCCCTGAGACCCCTGGGGCAAGAGTGAAGCAATTGTGCTTTTCCCCCCAGACATTGACAGGCCAGGGAGCTCAGCACTGGGCTCTGATGCCCTGGGACCCCTCCAGGTAGGCCCAGGCACCCAGAACCAAAATCCCACCTGTGTCTCCCCTCCCTCCCATTGCCTGGGGCTTTGCAGGGCTGGGGATGCTCCATCTCCCCCTGGGGAGATTTGCTTCACCAAAACCACAGAACAAACCAAAAATTCCCCAGAAAGATAAACCAAACCCAACACACAAACCCAACCCAAACCTGATCTTTTTGGCAAGAGAATTTGTTTACAAGTAAACACTGGTTAAACACATCCAAGAGAATATTCAAAACCATTTCTTAACTTGCCTGGCAAATAAGACTCAGCCAAATTCCTACTGGATAAGCAAAGACTTTGCCAGGAGGGAAGGGGCTCATCGCTGGCACCCTTCAGGGTGTGGTGTGATCCCCATCACAGGAGGATCTGCTGTCAGAGCTGCTGTGCAATTAAACATTGCCTTTATCTGGGCAGCTGGCAGAGCAGACACAAAATCCCAGCCAGTGGAAGCAGCCCAAGGAGTGATGGAGCAGCAGGAAGGAGGAATAAAACAATCCTTCAAATATTGGGGATGTGGCAGAGGCTGCCATGCAGGCAGAGGTCAGCTTGGACAACTGTAATGGACGTGGTACAAGCAATTAATTTGTTGGTGAAGTCAGGCTCGGGAAAGCAGCCAGAGCTCCTGCTTATCTGCTGTTCAGAAAATAATGGATTTTTGGAGCAGAGGCCAGTGAAAAGCTCAGATCCTTAACTCAGGGCTTTGTTGCTGCTGTTTACAAAGAGAAGGTGTCAGTGAGGCTCTGGTTTCCAGGGAGGACAGGGGACAGCAAATTCTCCTCAAGGATATGGTCGCTTAGATACCTT